GTCCCCGTGTGCGGCTCCCCCCCCGGCCCGGTTTGCTGCTCCGGGGCTGCATGTTAACGCCAGGGCTCACGCCGAGCAGCGCCCGCCTGCGCCCAGCGCCGCTAAACCTGCCGTTAATGTCCCACGGCAGCCCCTCCCCAGCCCCGCCGGCGACGGCGCCCAGGACGTGGCCGAGGGGCCGCAACGAGGAGTCAGAGAAAACCAGGGGGAGAGTAAACAGCAAAATGGGTAGGTGGGATCTTTTTTTTTTTTTTTTCTTTCCCTTGCTCTGAGGGTGTTTCGTCACAGGAGAAAAGCTGGGCTTGTTTAAGGGCTCAGTAAAACACAGCTCGGAGGAGCTGTCTCATCCTCAGAAGCAGATCTGAGTTAGGATGCGGGCGCATCCTACAGGAGGTGCTTCCAGGGGCTGAGCCAGACTTTCAGTGATCGCTTTTCTCAGGCATGGCATAATACCAGTTTATACAGTGTCACAAGTAAATTGAATCAGGGCCACAAAATGTTTTATGTGATGGGTTGTATCACAATGTGTTCTGGACCTTACAACAAGCCTGGTATTAATTCCAATGTCTGTGTCTCACTGTGTATTTTGACTCCTGATATAAGGACTGAAAGCAGCAGGCACTCAGAAATGCAGAGCAGTCTGTCAAGAAGGGGGTCAGCAAGGTTCCAGAAGGGGGACAAAAGGGACTCACTACTTCTCTACGCAATGCACAGGAAACTTCAATACGTGTGCAAGGAAGCTGGCAGGATTGGCAGATTTTTTTCAGCATTATAATGTACATACTTTAACTTTAAATGTTACCTTCACCCTAAAAAAGCAGCAAAGAATAAAAATGTGAGTAATTTTTGTATTCAAATGATGGTTTATATTACAGTGGATATCAGAGACCTAACATTTCAGGGGCTGTAAGGCTGCATAAAAGGTTTATACTATATCTGGTATAGCACCTAGACTACTAAACATTAGATTAGTAAACTAAACTGAGCCCAGCAGCAATCCTGGGCACTGGGACCTGCACTGCTGCCCTGTTTCAAGTGGCACGTTTTTGGCCAGGGCCACCTTGAACTCTCCCAGAAATTCTTGGGCAGGGACTGGTTTCCAGCGGCTGCTGTGCTGCAGAGAGGAGGAGGCTGGGCATGAGTAGTCCCATGCCAGTTGGCCTCCATGCCCAGCAGCAGTGTCCAGCAGATTGAATTAAGTAATAAAAAGAGGAGGAGGGGAACTGCAGGTTTCTCTTTCATCTTAAGAACGTAAAACTTGTGCTTAAACCCTAAAAGCTGTGGTTACTATTTTCCATCCCTCAAAGGAAAGGGTGGGAGGAATAGGCCTAGTGCCTTTCTCCTCTGATATTCTCTCAGTATATAAAGTATATGAAGAACCCTACAGAAAGGTAAAAATCCATGTCAACTAAAATACAGAATAAATTGCAGTTTCAGTTGAGCTTCTCATCTTAGGTGCCTATTCCCTTTATATTGCAGTACAAATATTTTCCATATGTGGACTTGTATAACTCAGTCCGTATGCATTTTATATCATACCGTTGTCATGGTAACATCCAGCCCTTTCTTAAACAGCTGATGGCAGGAGTCTACACTGCATGGAATCCGGATGAAATTGGGGGATCCCAAGGCAAGGACTTGCTGGATGCTGGTACACTCGTTGAATACCCTTTAGCAAACTGTCACCGTCTTTCCAGGAATGCTCTTTTAGCAAATACAGTGTAGGGAGTGCTCAAAACCAGCAATTAGTACTGAAAAAGATTAACAATAGCAATGAAATGTAGTCTAGTGAAAGGAAGTGCTGCAGGCGCAGAGTAAGCACTTGACAATCAAGATAGCATGACTGGATGAGCACTGTTATGTGCCCTGCCTTGCTGTTAGGGAATGAATAATGCCGACTGAAGAGTATCACAGCTGAGAGCTCAAGAAGTCCCTGTCTTGCTGCAAACCTTGCAGATCTAGTTTGGAAGAGCTTGAAAGCATAGAGATGTAAAAATCTATTTTATTTTGCCATATTTCTTACAGTAGTGTGTTTGGGCTGTCTAACTGTCTTGCATTCCTAAAGCAGAAAACAAAAACAAGGAAACAAAAGCCCCTAAAGTTATGATATTGGTCTACTGCTTACACTACTCAGTTTTATTTAGTAAAATGAGGTTTCTACAATAATGCTTAACGATCTTCCCATTTAAAATGGTATTAATGATGTTTACAAAATATCAGGAACATTGAAGGTTGAAATAATGTATCAGTCTGAACTAAATTCCATTTTGTTTCTGCATTTTGTACCACTCATAACCAAATACTATCTTGTTCATAGATAGCACTGCTTAGCAAAGGCAGTTCTTCAGACCTGCACCTTGTCATACTCAGAATTTCCTCCTTCCCTCCCTCCTGGGTCCCCTGAAACCACATTCAGGATATAAACGATTTGCTCTCACTTCAGGATGAGGAAGGAAGTTTTGTTTCCCTTGTTTAGTCCTGGCTTAGAAAGAAAGCACTTTGCCTTCTTTAGGCTGCGTGCAATTATGCTTTTATCAAGACCTTCTTGCCAACTCTTGCATGAAAATGTGCCTGCTGCTTAAAACAGGCAAGATGTCCACAGGCTTCGCTCAGCTGGGCTGAATTTTTCCCTTGTAGGTTCTCTTGATGACTATAAGTTTGACTTACATGGTATGTGGCTTTACCAGAGCTTGGATTTGGAAACTCCTGCAATATTTCAAGAAGCAAAGAATGTATTAACGTATCAAATACTTTTTTTCCCTTGCAGATAACAACAGTGACAAAGTTAGTATCAGCAGCACTGGAATTGAATTATGGTCGTTTTTCTTGTTGGAATAACCAGCATGTATTCTTGTTTTGCAAAAATACAGCTCTTAGAGATTTATATTTAAATTTTGCTAAACAGCTTCCGCTTTTCTTGATACCTTATTAGCATAGTAAATGGGCTTGTCTGCATTGGACATTATGTGCTCTTGCTTTTACTGTGTTAAATTTTGCAGTTTATTTTTATTCCATAAAACAGAAATAAGAGTAACACCCATATACTCTGTACATATTAGGGATATGTATATTGGTACATACATAAATACTGTTGAGCTTTTATTTGCTTGACTTCTCTCCCCTACCTCAAGGCTGAGTTAAGGGAGAGCCTGTCTCGGTGAACTTTCTTTTGTCTCTAGCACCACCTTGTTGCCTCAGTAAGTCATTACAAGTAGACTCTTAAGCTTTAAAAAAGGGACCAGTAGGATCCACAAGAGAAGTCAGCAGGTTATTTTGTTTATAATATACCACTTTCAACTAATGTGAAAGACTACTTATTTCACTGGTAGTTGCTAGAATGCAGTCAGCTGCATTTCCATTTCCATATAGTTCCATGCCTTTAATTACTGCTTTAATTTCCAGATTCCATTTTTTTCTATTAACTGCTCTGATGCTTTACTTCATTTTTTCTCTGTACTTCTTGTACTCTATCTTTTACTAACTGTGATGTATGATATGTGTACTTCACTAATACTGTGTGTTGATAAAATCCATGTTTTGATATTTTGTGTGATACCTTTCACATTGTTCTTTGAAGTGTCAAGTGTTTTTTTTAAGCTTAAGTATGTACTAATGCGTTCCACTGAATGGGCCTAATTCTTACTTATTGACAACTAATAGAATACTAATTGATATTTTCCACCTTTCTTAACCAGAAATACTTCAGACATTAAAAGTACAGTGGGAAATAGTAGCAAAAATAAAAGTGGCTTTTAAAGTTTTGTGTGTTTTGCTTTTAGTTTTAAATTATTATTAGAATAATTTTGTACAGTTAGTCTCCTATAAGTTACATAAAAATAATTGTACATTTGAAGGGTATAAAATATTAATGTTTTGGGATTAAAAAATTGTATATTTTAGGAGTAATATATATAGTATGAATCTTCTCTTTCCTTTTCCTAAACTGATCAATGCCATCACATGTTGTTTACAGTAGTTAATGAAAGAAAAGCTTTAAAATTCTGTATTTTTGCAAGTCTACTAGTGCAGGGAATGATAATAGTGTGTAGGCTACTGTGGGGAAAATTTTGAGATGAAATGGTTGCCTCACTTTTTTGACTCTCCAAGAGGGTTTCAGGTGTCTGTGCCTTCAGGTGATGCTACAGAACATTGCTACCTATGCTTTCAAATGGCCAGGTATTGATCCAGGCTTTGCTAAGCTCAAAAAACTTGGTGTGCATTGGATTGCCCTTCCACACAGCTGGTGCTTTACCTCTTGTGAAGCAAGGGGAAAATTTTTTGAAGGGCAGCTGATCCAGAAAAAGTGGACTGCCCTGCTTTACCAAAACAAATTTCCTTCTCGTCCCTGTAAGGAAATCACTGAGTTTAATTTAAGTATGGGAGTTCTGTGCTGTAGTTTTGGTAGTAGAATGAGAATATTATTAATTGGGTTTCAGTGCCCTTTCCCACAAAACTAATTCGATAGAATCATTAGCTGCACTTCTGTTTCAAGTTTCTGACTTTATTTCTTGTTTTCTTTTTCTCCTTTTCCTGTTTATGATGGGAAAACTTTCTCTTGCTGTCTTACTCTGTCATCTCCAAGGAAAATCCCACCCAAACGGTAAAAGTTTAAACATGTCTTGATAATAATATTTTTTACTATTTCAAATGCTTCAGCAGTGAAGCAAGGAAAATTATTTCAGTCAGGTTAGAGTAATTATCAAGCTGTGTTTGGTTCAGAGAACTGAACCTGTGTTCAGGTGTGCCCGTAGAGCTCACAGCTGCGAATCTGCATCCAAATGCAGAAGCGATCTTAAACACTGTGAAAAGCTGCAGTTCTGTCCATGTCTTTGTAGCTACCCCAGTCCAAGTGGTCTCTGAATGTTCTTTCTCACTGCTCTCTCTTCTCCTTGATGCAGCCCCCCACGGAAGCACATTGTGGATACCTATACAGAGTTTTACCACACACCCACCCATAGCGATGCCAGCAAGAAGCGACTGATTGAAGACACCGAAGACTGGCATCCCCGGACAGGCACCACCCAGTCCCGCTCTTTCCGCATCCTTGCCCAGATCACTGGCACTGACCATAGTAAGTAGTTTGGTGAGATAGAAGAAATGTGAATGGAAGAAAAGGAAAGGAATGTTCATGGACAGATAGGTGTTTTTAAAAGCTGGGGGCAGGGGGAAATAGGAGAAGATTCAATCACATCTCTCAATGTTTTCCTCTTGGATAGTAAACTCAGTAGGCAGAATTTCAGTGAGCTTTTTGAAAGAAAATTTTTGAGGGGACTGTAGCAGGAAAATGTTTTTGTGAAACTCCTGCAGTTCCTAAATAGCTCAGGACATACGCATTCCTGTACATTATTCCTGATTGAGTTGAGTATTAATACATTTGAGGTAAATCTTAAAATTTCCATTTCTGCTCCCCCAAACATGGGCATATATGGATTTGTTGTTTCTTTCCCATATTGTATCACCAAAAAGGTAATATTACTGTTCAGATGTAATACTCAAATATTAAGGTGTTGTCAGGCATGTAAAATATCTTTGATAGTCATACAAATGTATGAGATCTGTAATGATTTAACCAATCAGAAGCATAAATCCATAGTTCCTCAGTTTATTCCCAGAATGTTTCCATCCTCTGCTTATGCTGTGGCATATTTACGTGTACTGTGGACTGGACAGATGATAGTCATCTGGGTCATTCACAGTCACATAACTTCATTCTAAAACTTCCATTTCATATTCTGCTGTCAGTTCTAATTAAGTGATTGAGATCTTTCATGTTGTGTAAAGCCATTAGAAATGCCACCAGGAGATTTGAACTCAGTCATGTTCAGATCGAGGCATCTAATGTGGAGGTGATTATTATTCTCCTTTTCACGGCTAGTGCTACAATAAAGAAGGGAGGAAATCAGACCCCCTCCTCAGGGGCAGATTTCAATTCTCTGGTAGAATTACTCTAGAAGACAATGGTAACATCTCCTGAAATTAGGGTAATTGTCCTGGTGTGATAAATATTCTGAACTTGGAGAGTTACCTGATTGCTTTGTGACCCTGTGTTGTGCTTATCGATTAATGGATCATTCTCTCTTTAGATTCTCTCATTAATCCTTGCGAGGGCAGAATATGACATCTGTTATGTCAAATAACATGTCATCCAGTACTGATTAAATAATCATGTTGACAAATACTATAAGGAAGTGACTCCAACTGCATTTGCCAAATTTAAAATCAGGGCTGGGAACTTACATTATCCCATGTGCAGTCCTCTAGCACCTTGATGGGTCACAGCCTGGCTGCAAACAGACGGTTGGATTATCACCTGATGCAAACCCACTGGATGTTCGTCCAAAAGAAATGCTTCCAAACTTCCATCCAACTACCATTCATCTTCACCTTCTCAACTCGCCTTTCTCCATGCCAACAAGGAGAGTGGGCCAAGGGAAAGGGCAGGGACCAGCAGAGCCACCTTTCAGCAACCATGCTGGCAAAGAGGCTCTTGAAGTTTATAGACATACCTCATTTCCATTGGGGCATATATAGAATTGTGGAGTCCTGTCAAGCCTTATTGTAATTTCCTTATTGTAATTGTGGTGAAAGTGTCAGCACAGGGGGAGAATCTTAGTGTACAGTGCCCTGGAAAATAAAAAAAATTTCTGGTTTCTTGCAGTGAAAGAACCAGAAAATCAAGCTGCAAAGAAGACTAAGTGAGTTGATGTTTCACGTTTTTCTTACTTTAATACTTTGCATGTCTCAATTCTTAACTGATAGTGTTTGGTGTATTTGTGTGATATCTGGCTGTTTTTAAAATGTTGCTTCTTTTTTGAGTTCTACTTCAGCATGTGACAATCAGGTCTTTTTCTGCGTAGACCATAATTTTTAAATATGCTGTCCAGTATTAACGTTTGTGCAGAAGTTGGAGATGTTCCGTAAACTTGGACTGATTGGGTTTTCTGTATGAGGTCAGCTTGTCAAAGTGTTTTCCTTTTCCTAAATTTACCCAGGCATTTTTGATTTGCAAGTGTGGATCAGATTGCAGGGCATAGCTGAAAAGTATTACAGTTCTGGACTGTGAATGAGGTTCAGCTGTCTCCTTGCTTTGGGATAAGCCTTGTTCAATGACTTTACCTAACACTGGATCCAAGCTTTTGACAGTGAGGAAGGCACTGTGTGGATAGGAATAGTGCATGGTGATTGCATGCTTGCTTGTGAAACTGCTGAAGACAACCTTTCTTTCTTTCTTATTTTTCTCCTATCACTTCTTTCCACAGGGAAAAGGTTCCCATCCACGTCTTTAGCCCCAAATATACAAAATTACGTGACTGGCACCATGAAGTCTCAGCACGTGTTCTTAATGTCCAGTGATTTTACCCAAGTTGCAAAAGCAAAATACAAACACTTCCTTCCTTTCTTCTTTTCCATCTGCTTTGCAAAAAAAGAAAAAAGAAAACTTATATCACTAGCCTTACTGGAAGAGAAAGTCTAGCCTTTTCTATACTTTTCTAACACTTTCTTACTGATCTGTAAAAATGAGATGAAGATGTTTTTGTGCTAATCACAAGTTGACAAAAACCACGTATTTAAAACAGAACAACTTGGGTGACTGAATCTCCCAACGTGGGGGAGGAGATGGCTGTTGCAGTTTTTGTTTTTTTCCCGTAAGGGAGTAATTTGCGTTGCTGAGTTTGAGTTACTGTAGGTTGTTAGAAAGCAGAAAATTATGAGCAAAAGAATAAGAAATTGTATTACTTTGATTTCGAGACTGGGGGAAGAAGACGCAGAGGGAATTGTATGCACTTATTTCAGACTGTTGTATTTACCAGGATAATTATCTTTGATTTCACTAGATTTTCAGCAGGTCAGTTTTAGAGTGGTTGTAAATGTTTTACGAAGTAGAGCAAGAAGACAGACTGCTTTTAAGCAAATAAAATAAAATTAGGAAAAAAAAAGTCCGATGTTGCGAATCGAAGTGCAAGTTCAAGATAAAGATTATGCTGCTTAAGCTAGTGATATGTTCATATTGTGAAAAATTTAGAAAAAACTGAGCAGATTGTTGCTGTGTACCTGTAAGAGCTTCAGCACATCCTCTAACAAGAACAAGATTAGACAGCAGTATTTATTTATTGCAGAGTGAAGCTAGTAGGCTTTCTTGTGTTTATAAAAGCTTCATGGCCTTATGGTTCTCCTGTAAAATAATGTATTATAGTAGCTACTCATTCATTAATTTATGCTTTCTGAAGCTTGAAGAGTATTTTAATAAAAATTGCTTTTATCTTAGCTCTGTCTGTTTTTCTTTTGAGTCTCTCTGACTCCTTGAATAGTTTTCTTATGCACGTAGCTGTAATTCACCATCACAGATCATAGTAAGAGAAACAACTACATCCTTACTGCATAGTAGAAACAATCTGAATGGTACAAAATTACCAGAGTAGTAGAGTTCCTGATCATGTTAAAACAGGGTATGTGTTTGTGTTGTCAAAATCAGCATGAGATTTGCAGAAATCAAAGAAATGGTTGACCTTTTGGGGGGCTACAGGAGCAAGAATTCTACTAAGTAAAACTCTTGGCTTTTGCAACAGTTACTGAAGCAGAGACATTTCAAACCTCAAAGGACAATTGTAAATCACCTAGGAAAGCCCTATCTTTCATAATTGCTTAATGAGAACTATTGCAATTGCCTTGTAGTTTGTAAAGCTGACCTACACACTTTTCTGATGGAATTGGTCCTGTGAACAGATGGATGTCCACTGCAAAAGCTTCTGTAGGCTTGGGAGAGTTGTTTTTTTTTATTGCACAACTTGGAACATTGAATGGAATAGAGACCTTTGGAAGCACTGTAAGCTTGTGTTTCTTTTTCACGTTTTATATTGCTGTACAGTACAGAACTACCTTATGGGATTTGTGATTTTTCTTTAGGAAAAGCCAAACAGAAAATGGAGACTTGAGGTAACAACTAAGTTATCTAACATTAACAGTCACTCATGTGGATGCCTAACAATGCACAGCATAAAGTAGAATGAAAATTGCAGTGGTAATGATGTACCAAGGCATATCACATCTTGCACACCTTTTGGGTTACCTCGTTAGGGGACAGTAGCAGAAAATATTCACTTTAATAATTTCACTGAAGTCTGTTTTGATGAGAAATGCCAATCAGTTTTATTCCCCTCCCCTATCACGTAATTCAGTAGTGAGTACACTGTTACTAAACCAAGTGTGTTACTGAGTGCACGTACACCGCAATATAAGCATTTTGTAGAATGCTGCATATTAAAGTAGGCATGTGAAGTAGTGTATTAAAATTGTTTTGTTGGGTTTAAGTGATTTTTTTTTTTTAATGAATGGAAAAGTAAGATGGGAGTTTCAGAGGACATAAGTGCAGTTAAGACTGGGGGAACTTATCACTGTAAAATGTGCTTAATAAGGGCAGAATGGTTTAACATTTAAGTGCATTTTTGTTTAAAGTGTTTTTTTTTTTAATGAATGGAAAAGTAAGATGGGAGTTTCAGAGGACATAAGTGCAGTTAAGACTGGGGGAACTTATCACTGTAAAATGTGCTTAATAAGGGCAGAATGGTTTAACATTTAAGTGCATTTTTATGTTTTGGAGATGTCCCTAGGTAATGAGAATATATTCACATTGGTGTTTAACTTAGCATTATGTTCATGTGCCTTATCAGCTCTTATCCCTTTGAAGGATGAGTTGCTTTAGTGATAAATGGAAGAAAAAAGCCTCTCTAAGTAATCCAAAGTACATAAGCCTTTGTTTTGATTAAAATTAAACCTAGTTGTAGAATCTTATCTATTGAGAATATGAGAATAGTTTGAGAAAGGCTAAGAACATTCTAAGCTTTCTATAAATTCACAGTAGCAGATCACTAGTACCAAAAATGTTTTATAAATGTGTGAAATGAATTTCATTTACTGCTTTAAAAATGTTACCTCTTAGCCCAATATTCTCACTGCACAAAACTTTATGTGGAATTTTGGGTTTTGCTACTGTTTCTAAAACAGTGGACAGACAGCTTTTCCTTTTGCATGTGGATAATATGCCACAGCTCATGTCTGATTCCCAGCATACATCTCATCTTTAAAAAAACATATCCTGAGTAGTTTTGGTACAAGTTAGTAAGCTTTCATTTAAGAGATTACCCAGAAGGATGAATATGCCAAGCGATGAAATAGAAGCTTCTCTTCCATCAGTTATCTGCAGATAAATATCCTAATCCAATAGTATTTAACTTTTCAGGTAGACACTGTCCAAGATAAACATCCTGTGGATTTTTTTTTGTTTGCTTGTCCCTAAACTGTAACACACTAGGGGTTTTTGTGTGGATAAAATAAGTTTTTATTTTCAGCAGCTGGGTAAGGATGGGTAATAGAAATAGAAAGCACTCACTGAAATGCATAAATTGCAACTCTTAAACCATTTACTTAAAGCTTAGAAAGGCAAAGTCTAACCTTAATGTAAAGTATATTTATGTGTTTTAGTAACCAATTAGTTCTCATTCTGCAGTACCCTATTTCCAATTATTTTTTTGGTGTTTACTTTCAACTATTGCCTTTCAAGCAACCAGGTACAAATTTAGTTTTGGCCTTAAATTGTAGAATCAGTTCATTGTCATAAATAATGCATTTTTTATTATTTTTTCTTTTTCACCCCTGTCATAAATACCTTTAAAGTATACCTGCAGATCTACCTAATGGAGCAGGAGCCCAGGATACCTCTATTAAGCTGGTTACAAACTCGGTAGCTACCCAAACTTTAGAGATGCCACCTGTACTGGAATTTCCATCCACACCTTTACCACTTATGAGGTCTGCTCCCTGGTCATTCCAAAGCCTGTTCAATAATTTTTAGTACTTAAGGCTCCCTACTTTATTACGATACTTAATTCTGCATGCTAATATTAATAAAAACAAAAAAAAAATAAATAAATGCCCCAAGACAATAAAAGGCAGCAATGCCTACTTCTGTGGCTGTTTTAGTCTGCTCAGAACTTATGGTTGTGATTCCTTTCTACCCCATAGTTTACTTTCTTTTTGTGTGTTACAGTGAGATGTCTGACAGGTGCTTTTCTTCAACTAGAAGCCTTTAAGACAATATTTTCTAGTTTTATTATTTTTCCACATGCACTGAAAAAAAAGAGAGACTATAAAAATACTGAGAAATACATAGTCTAATCTTCACAAAACTTAACACCCTAAAAAAATTGCAGCAAAAAGTGTTGAAAACTTCAGGAGTGAATTCCTCTAATTTGTATCTGTTTCTTTTCCAGTATTTCCTATATTTTTTCCGTCACATATTGTCAGATGAATATATGTGTTCCATCTTTGGAAATGTAAAATACTACTTGGCTTTCTGAGTTTATAAACAGAGGGACACTTTTCAACTTTCACTAAAAGCATGACACTTCTTAAGTGTATTGTGTCTCATTTTATAGCCCTATTTGTATTTTGCTGTAAATGCCACATCTTCAGTTTGGGGTTTGTTGTTTGTTTTTTCAACTTACTAACACTTTCATGCACAGTGTTTCCTGTTCAGCATACTATTTCAATGTGGATTAAAAAGCTCTTTCTCTGTGTATCTCCATTTGGTTTTATTTCTGTGAATGGAGTGAAAATGATGCTAGACCAGAACCTGCAGCTGCTCTTTTGCCAACAGCACAGCCCTGCCCTGGCAGTGTCCCCTCTCCCAGACTTTCTGGTCACATTGCTGAAGCAGCTTCTGGGAGGTAAATCACTGAGAGGGATTTATTCTGTATGTTGTTCTAGCCTAGATTTGTCTGTCATAAGGGAGAGAGGATTGTTTGTCATTCACTTAAAATAAACTTTATTAATATGCCATGACTAGCAGTTTTCCTGGAAATGAAAGGAGGGAAAAGGTGAAGAGAAATGAAATAAAGCTGATCAGACTCATAAACAATATTGTGGATACCAGTTAATATAATACACAATATTTATTGCATGTCAGCACATTGTCAGTGGGTGTCCACCTTGTCACATGCATGGAGTATCTTTTCAGTGGCCTCAACAACTCAAGCGTGAACTCAGATTTCTTCAACACACAGAAAAATGCCTTTATAAAATATAAACAATTTTTTTTTAATTACTGTTTTGCATATAACACTATGTTGTGCTATGATGAAATCAACAAAAACTAGACTATTATTTGGCAAATTTCCTATAATTTGCCTTGGGTAGCTTCACCAATGCTTATCTTGGCAGATTGGTGATGTTTTGAAGGTCATCTATGAGCAGTAGACAGGGACAGTAATTTTGGATGTAAGATAGTGACAATATCTTGGAATGTTATGATGCTATTATTGAAGGTCAATAACATTTTCCAATTGTTTGTTTCATAG